GATTTTACCGATTCGATTTTATGATTCCGATTTCACCTAGTCAAAACGATTTTACGTAAAATCTCGATTTTGACAACCTTGATTATCAGATCTCGTGAACAAGAAAATATCAGTGGCATCAGCCTTTTTCCAGAGTTTCCTCCGTTTTATGTTCAGTAGCAGTAACAAAGGGTGTTCAGGTAAGTAAGAATGCCAGTGCTACATGGGCTAGTTTAATACCCTTACTCAGTAAATCAGGACAGTTGTAAAATTTAAAATTTTACACTTCACTTTTTCATTGCTGTTATTAGGGAAGCTATGCATACGTTTAAGTTCTGAAAAGCTACTCTGTCCTGTAGATGGGTGACCCTTTTCATCCTGTCATTTCTATATATGCTTTTCCACCATTGTTGTTTTCAAGATCTGCAATAAGTTCTATTTTCATTATTATTTTCTTTCTAAGAGTAGTTATTGTGTTCTTTCCTACTCCACATATGTGCGTCTGCTGTCTCTGTTCCAGAATTCACTAACCTTCACCTTCAAGACAACTTTGAGAGGAATGTTTTTGCTTAGTTGATCTGCATGTCCCTCCTTCCTGAAGGTTGTGTCATCAATGGAGTGACCTTCAATTCCTGCTAACTTTATTGGAGACACAGGATCATTCGTTATGATGTTATGGTATCCGATTTTTATGGAGAGGTGTTGATAGGAAAGGTAATATTGGCACACTTAATATTCATCGTGTGTTGGAAAAATTAATGAAAACTTTCTGTGATGGGAAGGTAATGTTGATATTTCAATAAATACTTTCATGTGTTGGAAAAATTAATTTCCACCAGTGAAGAACTCCATCTTTCTTATCCTTTTCTTGACATTTTGGTTGCCTAAGGTTTAATCAAATTAGAACTTGCAACATCTCATCTTCCCAATTATCTTGTAATCTCCAGACTGCTGTAATATTCTTCTTTTGCTAACATGTTAATTAATAGGGGAATTTCATCTCTGGAACTAAGGCCGTTGATCTCACTCTTTTTATATCCTTGTAGTTCCCTCTCTTGCACTCCAGCGAGAAGAATTCGTTTACGAGAGGTGGGAATATCTACCAGCTCTCAGGTTCTGCTGAAGGCTATTTAACGTTAGTCCCTGGCAGGTAATCTACATTATATTTTACATGTTTAAGTGGTGATATAACTACCAAAATAATTAATTAATCTTGTTACACCCTTAGAAAATTACATAATGATGCATTTATGACGTGCATGGATGAGAGATTACATCTGCATTTACTAATCGATGTTCTGATCTGGATCGGTATTGCTTTTACTGGCCAGTCCATCTGGATTTGAATTCTGGCTTGAATGTATAATGATGCGTATATCTCGTGCATGGACGAGAGACTTGAGCTGCATTTACTAATTGATGATCTGATCTGGATCGGTATTACTTTCTATTGTCAGTCCTGGATTGGAATTTTGGTTTGAACCTTATTTTGAATGTGTAATGACATAATGATGCATATTTATCATGCATGAATGAGAGATTTGATCTGCATTTACTAATTGATGATCTGATCTGGATCAGTATTACTTTTTCTGGTCAGTTGTAGTTTTGAATTTTGGCTTGGATCTCTTTTCTCTTTTTTCGGCCCTAGAATCTTAATATGAATGCATTAGCCATTAGCATTGGCTCCAAAAAAGAAAGAGGATCTCCAACTACTTGACCTTTCTAATCATCTCATTCTCTTTTCATTTAGGTTGGCAGACCGTAAATGTATGTGACCCATTTGAAGTTCAGGTGGCAAGCTTCCCCCTACAGCTGTTGGATTATGTTTTCTGGTAGCCTTTTGCATGGCTCTCCAGAAGCACCATAAAGGAACTGATAAGGAACATCTCTGTTAATTATTTATTTATTTTTATACGGTAATATTATAATAAAAAGATAATAAAAATAATATTTTTAAAATTTATTTTTTTATATAATTCTCATGTCATGAACCTTTCATCTCATAATTTTTGAAAAGATAAAATTTTATTTCAACTTTTTTTTAATGTAAGATTTACTTAAATAACTTTTTTACTAACTTTTCTTAAATTTAGTTGTCATCGAATACAAAAAATAACAAATTAATAATTTTTTAACAAAATTTTATTAAAACATTTATTAACATTTTATACCATATTTATCAACTTTCAATATATTACCTTTTTAATTACTTTTCTTCAATAAAATTTTTTTTAATAAAGTGTTCTTGCAACCAAACACGCCTGAAGGCACCAAATCCAGACGTCGAAGAATTATAAAATGGCAGCAGAACAGATGTGCACACCTTCGTTAAGAAGCTTGTGTCTCTGAAAGTCAGGTGTGAAATGTACAGCCACATGTAAAACTCTCCGTGTCCATGTGATTTTTTTCATTGATTCTACTTTTTGTAAATGAAGTCTGTTCACATCACATTTTCCCTTTTCCCCTTTCCTCTAGATAAAAATTTTAGAAACCAAAAGTTTCAGCAAGAAATTCCATTCCAAGATCTAGTGCCAGATTTCCTTCCTTACTTGATTAGATTTTCATTTTCCCTAGGGTTTTCTTGTTCAGAGATGTTCTTTGCTGCCCCTTGAATGCTCTGAAATTTCATTTCTTTTCTCTAATTTTCTGCCTTCTTCGTTGATCAGATCTATGTGTGCTTGTTAGGGTTTGTTTTTGTTCAAAGTTATTAGCTTTGTTGCTGGGTATTTAGGGTATTGTTTGTTCCTTCTCTTATCTCAATTTTCAGCGTCATTTCTGGTTGGGGTTTGTTTTGTATAATTCTGCTATGGATAAGGATAAATCTACAAACCACGGTGGAGGCTTACCACCTCCCTCAGGCCGTTTCTCGGGTTTTTCTTCGAGCGGGAATCCGAGCACTTTCAATGTGAAAACTGAGCCGGCTTCATTGGCAGTCTGTTTTCCAATGGCGGGTTCTAGTTCTGAAGCTGGACATTTCTGTCACGGGGCGTATTCTAAAAGTTTAGCCATGATATTAGCAAAATGCCCGACAACCCACCCAAGAATATCGGTCATCGCCGTGCTCATTCCGAAATACTCACTCTGCCGGATGATATTAGCTTTGATAGTGATCTTGGGGTCTAGAATTTTCATCTTCTGCAGCTATTAAAGGTGCATTTGTCGTATTTTACATGGACACCGCTGATTTCTGTGACTGCTACATGATCATAGTTCAAGGTAATGTATTATTTATCTGAAGCAACATTTCTTGTGAAATATAAACTAACTTTTTTTTGGGAGGGAGTGGGGGCAGATCATTGGGTACAGGCTAAAAGAACATGAAGAACAAACTAACATTTTTTTTGGAGTTTTTGTTCAGGTGCAAAAAATGTCATCAATGCTTGCCGAGAATGCAAAGTTAGACGACTTGTGTATAACAGTTCTGCAGATGTTGTCTTTGATGGTTCACAGGATATACATAATGGTGATGAATCTTTAACATGCCCTTGGAAAGTATGCTTCTCAACACTGCAATCTTTACTGTAACTGTATCTAATTTCCTCTCTTTTATTATTGACATGGTCATGACTCTTGATGCAGTTTCAGGATAAGATGATTGACCTTAAAGCTCAAGCAGAAGCACTGATTGTGTTTGCCAACAATATTGATGGTCTTTTAACATGTGCACTTCGTCCTCGTAATGTCTTTGGTCCTGGCAATGCACAGCTTGTACCTCTCTTAGTAAATTTTGCAAAATGCGGTTTGGCAAAGGTTTGACAACTTTAACAATTTATTGATCTTCTTTTTTCTTTTTCTTTTTCTTTTTCTTTATCTTTTTTTTTTCTAAGGCAACATTCTATTTTGGGAACTTCCTTTAGTTATACAATCTGTATTAATGTTAATTCATTCTAACACAATAATATTTCAATAGTAACTAAAACTGAAATGAACTTGTGTTCCTTAAGAACAACTTCCTGAGGTTCCATGTTCATTTTAAATCCCTGTTTTTTGTTTTGGTTTTTTTATTCATTTTATTAAGTTTTGTTGTTTTGCCTTGTTTGGATTTATTCTGCACTGGTATCTATATTTAGAGCATGGATATGCTCTTTTTTTTTTTTGGATAAAATGTAAAATTTTATTTATCCATTAAAACTAGCATATACACATAAGCAGCAAGTCAGTTGCTACTACAATCAATTACAACTCTAACCAAGGAAAGATTTCATCTAAGACTGTACTGGTGGCTTTTGAACCTGTACAAGTCCCCACTGCACTGCTATAGACATCAGTAGTGAAGAGGACTTTGGAGTTGCAAAGGCTAAAACCTTGTTCCTCACATCAAAAAGAATATCATTTACAATCTGTGAAACTGATCTGAATTGTTGCCTGTAAACTCTACTGTTCCTTTCTCGCCAAACATGATACACAGTAGCATTCCATGCAAGCTTTATAAGAGCACAATATACGGACTTCCTTCTAATGCTTTTCCCCAACCAAGCTAGTAGCCCTTGCCAAGAACAAAATAAAGGAATTTCTGCCATGCTACAAACAGTTTGCCATACTTGTTTTGTAAACTGGCAGTTAAAAAATAGGTGATCATTAGTTTCTACTCCTGAGCTGCAAAACAAGCAAGTGTCATCAATGCTAGAGGTCCACTTTTTCTGTCTACTTCTCGTTGTTAATCTGTCCAATATTGCTAGCCAACCAATGAAACTATGCTTGGGAATTGCATGTGAGAACCAAACCAACTTGTGCCATGGCACTTTCCTTTGCTTAGCTCGTAGAGAATGCCATGCACTACTTGTATCAAACACTCTAGAGGAAGAGGCTGTCCAAATAACTAAATCTTTCTTTCCACTTTTAGGATATAGTGTGTCAAACAAAGCCATCTGAATTTGTACAAGCTGGGGAGAACGAGCAGGGGGCCAATTCCAAAAATTCCCATTTACTACTTCTGACACTTTGGCAAATAATTGCAAACCAGAATCTGGTACAATCTTAGCACCATATGCAAGTATTAATGGTCCTGAAGGATGCCAATAGTCATGCCAAAGGAAGATATCACTACCATCACCAAGTACATGCTGTATTAATCCTCTAGCATAGCTTCTAAGCTTTAGTATTTTCCTCCACCCCCAAGTTGAGTTCACAGGAATACTGATATACCAGAAACTCTTGTCTTTTAGCAGGTACTCCTTGACCCAAGCAACCCATATAGAGCCTGCTTTAGCAAAAATCATCCAAATGAATCTTAACATACATGCCATGTTCCAGTGACTAAGGCTTTTAAGGCCTAAACCTCCCTCCTGTTTAGGGAAACAAACAGATTGCCAACACACCTTAGCTCCCTTTGCACTATCAGTAGAGTTATTCCATAGGAAAGCACTGCAAAGTCTTTCAATTTCCAAGTAATGGATATGCTTGTCTTTCAGTAGAGTTAGCATGGATATGCTTGTCTGACCTTTTCCAAGTAATGGGTTTTTCATTTCAGTTCATTATAGGAAGTGGTGAAAATATGTCTGACTTCACCTTTTCTGAGAATGTTGCCCATGCTCATATCTGTGCAGCAGAAGCTCTAGATTCCCGGGTAGTCTCTGTGGCTGGAAAGGTATGCTTCCTTTGGAATATTATTTTGGGTAAAGAACTATTGGATATATTAATTGTAAATTAATCCATCCATAAGTCAGATGTTCTCTTCTAATCAACTTGTAGGTCTTTTTCATCACAAATCTTGAACCTATGCTGTTCTGGGAATTTGTGTCTCTCATACTTGAAGGCTTGGGATTTCAAAGGTATAGCACAGAGGTTTTCATCAGTACTTTGTTTGTCATGTGATAATGAGTTGCACAGGCTTATGTGCATTTCACATAGGAAATATCCTGATTGAGGAGTAATTTAACTATTATCTTCTTCATTAAAGTATGGTTAAGACAAAGTTCCAACTTCCAAGAAAAGCAATGGTATGCAACTGCCCTTCTTCACCCAGAAGGGTAGATGATGGGCAAGTCATGATAACACTGAAACCATCACCTTCTGAGAGGTTGATTGCAATTCTGAATATACTGAGAAAAGTTAATTTAGGACAGGGATGCTTCCTTATTTAGTTAATATCATCTTTGGTTTTGGCTGTTGAAAATTTTTTTTTTTTTTCAATTAATTAGCATATGTGTTGCTCGATTTGGTCTTCCCTTTAGAACATGGAAATTGGAGAGTGCTTTCCTATGTTTTCTTGCATGTATGCCAGTAATTACAGTTAAAGTTATGATTTATGTTCTGATTTTGGCTTCCTGCCTATTGGCTCCTGAGTCAAAGGAAAAGGCCTGTTGATTATGTGGATATTATGATTGCATTATTCTAATTGAAGTTGTGGCTTTCTTGATTGCAGACCATTCATAAAAGTTCCTACCAGGATATTTTGGTACATTCTTTTGGTTGTCAAATGGATGAAGGAAAAGTTGCACTTCAAAAATTGTGGTGATTCTACATCAGCTCGTTACTTAGTTCAACTAGCCTCTCGCACCAGAACTTTTGACTGCGCTGCAGCTGAAAGGCATATTGGATACTCACAAGTTGTTTCCTTAGAAGTAAGTTTCTGCTGATGTTTTGTCTTTCATTGCACTTATGTCAATTCTAATTTCTTTCAGTTTCCTTTTGTGCTTCAAGACTTAGTAACAGGGAACTTGCAAAATTGAAGGTCTCACATTTGGCTTACTTGTTTTCTCTTTGCTGATAATTCAGGAAGTTATTACATCAACAGTAGAATCATTCACACATTTAGCCAAAGATTTTGAGAGATACAGCTACTATGAAGGACAATCAAAAGCAGAGAAGCTGCTTGGAGGAGGGAAAGGTATTTTAGTATTTGATTCTTCATTGGAACTGCACAGTAGCATTGCTCATTTTTTCAAACTGGAGTTTATGTCCAAACTAGAGATTTTGGAAAAGTGTCCTTGTAATGTTTTAGACTGAGGGTGGATTGATGTTCGATCTTAGACATCATGCTATTGTCCTAGTTTCTGTGCTGTTTTTTTTTTTTTGCTGAAAATATTATGGGCTGGAAATCAGTGTTAATGGTTGGTTTCATTAGTGGTGTTTTGAATAAAGAAAATCTGGTCAATTAGGGTTGTGATGATCCAATAGCCAAGCAATCTGCCCAACACTTTTGTGCCTGATTTTCTGATCCCATCTGCTCCCAGCCGCATGCAAATTTGTTACAGGATGTTATCTTGGAAAGGATTTATCATAACTTGGCTTGTTTCTTCAGCAAACACTAATGAAGAACCTATTTTTCTCTATGATTGTAATGGTTAGCCATTACCATAGATAGTCTTCTCAAGTGTCAAAGTGAACAGATATTGGCATAGAACAAGATGCACCAAGTGATAATCACTAGAAGGCTTGAGACATATCTGTCCAGTATGGCAGTAAAATATCTTTTCGTTTGATACATCCAACTAGTCTCTTCTTTTTAAGGATTTGACAGCATAACCTTTGCTGTGAAATGACCTGGAACTAATTTACTGCAGTTTCTGACATTTTGCTCTGGAGAGATGAAAGGAAAACGTTTACATGCTTTCTTGCTCTGGCTCTGGTGTTTTACTGGTTCTCTCTCTGTGGAAGAACTTTTATCTCATCCATGGCCAGTCTTCTGCTATGGGTTGCAATAGTGCTTTGTGGATATGGCATTATACCGTTGGAGATGTAAGTTTTCATTTTATAAATACCTTGAATGTTTGATGGAATTTTCGTTTGACCTTCCAAGACCCTTTCCTCCTTTTTTCTGTTCCTTTCTTTGTCTCTCTAATTACTTCTACGTGGAATCACAAGCAGCTGCTTGGATTTTGTATCTTATGGTTTCAACTTTTACTTTTGTGGTTCAATTTTTGTTCTGTCTTGTTCTATTGGTCAGTATTTCTTGTCATGCTTCTGTCTTTCCCCAACTTTCTAAAGAATAAAGGATCTACTAATTATGATTACATTGCAACAGATTGGATTTAATCTGGAGGATACGTTTGCCTAGTGTTGAAATCTCAGAAACAGTCATGAGAGATTCAATTAGATCCATAGCTTATGAATGGAATAGAGGGGCTCGTACTATAAGGTCATTGGCCAAGGGAGAGAACTGGAATACTGTTTTCAAGGTATGCATTATGACAGATTCAGTAAATCGCTCACAACAATTATACCTTTAAGTGATATTATGTTTTATGCAGTTCACCCACCCCTTGTGTACAGTGACTGATTGTGAGTACCAGTTCTAAAACATGTCAAATAGGAAATATCCTATCCAAAAACTCACTATTGCCAATTCTCTTAATTCTGATGTTCACGGCCTTGGAAAAAAGGTCTGATGTTTGACAACATAGAAATTAGTGGCACATTAATGTCTTGGTTAACAAACCCCTTTGGTAGTTACCCCATTATAACTTGGATAATTTATTTGTATTGTTGAGCTTTAGGTGTCTAGGCATGTTCCTTGCATTTTTCAGTTTGTTGGGCATATTTCAGCTGGTATTTGACAAATGACAAGTTTCTTGCATGAGCTGTGAAGTCTGGTAGCACGTTTCTTACTTTTTATTTATTTATTTAGGTTGCAGGTTCTCTTTACGCTGTCAAGTTCCTGTTGTCTTACTCGGTGACTGTTCTGACCGGCATGAGTAAGCAACTATTTATTTTGCTGATTATGTAACCGTTCTATTTCATTTTTCATCGTTTCTATCCTATGTATTGACTTTGTTCGAAAATGCTGCAGTTCTGGTGTTTGCTTTCACTGCATTCTTCGTTTATGAGCAATATGAATTCGAAATCAATGGATTGGCAAAATTTCTCTGCAACAGTATTATGGAATCAAAAGCATTGTTGGCAAGGAATCTACCAGCTTCCGTGGCTTCATATCTTCATAACTTCGCAACTCCGCACCAGCCAA